GTGATAAGAGCGAACCAATTGGATGTCCACTGAGACTTTTCATTTCTGCTCTAAAATGGTCTTTCTCTCACTCTTTCATTGAACGAAAGCTGTTTAAAGACATAAAATGGAGAGTGTGATGTCCGGTCAGATATGCCAATGTTTGGTTTCCGTGGAAACTTAAATACAATTAAAAATGTAATTTCCACAACATTTTGTGAAAATATAGGTATCTCATGTAATAGAAACAAAAAAAATGACGTATTCAGTGACTGTAGAGCTGTTACCCTGATGATCATCTCTCCATTTAACCAATGATGCTTACGACAATGTTAAGATCCCTATGGGATCACTTTCCACTTGCTTGTAGCCATAATCAAATCAAATAAAGCTCGATACAGAAGATGTGGTTTCTTGGTGAGTGAGGGTGTATTTGGGCAAAAGCAAAACTAATTTTTTTTATATAAGATTGACTGTGTTCACACCTTAATAGGCAACCTGCCCAGTCCTGGTCTGATGTAATATCAGATTTTCTATCACAAGAGACACTCGTCAAATCAATAGGCTGAAAGGCTGGATTGGTTTATTCCATACTTGTCATTGTTAACAGATTACACTAGATTTTTTATAAAATTCCAGCTTCATTCATGTTAATGTATTTATAAAAAGGTTTACAACCCTCCTCCTGCATTCATCGCAGAAGCATTGACGATTTCTCCTTTACGATCAAGGTATGAGAACCTAATTTTGACAACTGTAGATTAATATAATGAATTATTACTCCATTATCACACAATATTGAAAAAAGACATGTTAATTTTAACTGCTATCAATTACATTGTGATGAGGCTGTGTTTGTCTAATGTATATTAGGCCATTGTGCTAAGGGTCTGTTTGTTTAATGCACTACAATGAACAGCACAGTTGAGAGGCTCATCTGATCATTTAGGGGCTTTCTCTACTGGTTTAGGAGGAAGCAGCCTGGTGCAGAAAGCACTTATCAAGCTCAGTGACCAGCAGTTGAGCCGTGGTCACAGTCCAGAAGCAGTCAGCTTCCACATCAGTATACTGCCTGACTGTTTAGATCAGAAACAGCTGTACAAACCTCATACAAAAGAACAGATAGATTGGATGACACTCATAGACACTTTCGGAGTTACCTCCTCAATTCACAAATGACCGACATTATTGTGCATATCGTTAAAGTGGTGGATTTGAAGTAGATAAAAGATGAGATTTGACCCCTGAAGGAGGTACCCTGACAGTTGAGATTCTACATTTTAAGGGGTTTGATTGGATAAGATTCAAGGGTCCAAAAGTTGAGATCCTCTCCACACAGGATTCCAGTGGATCTGATCTGCTCTCCACAGGGGTCTCAATGAGTAAGTATCCCTTTTCAGAAATTTGAAATGGATTAAGTCTCTATCCGTAAGAGATCCTGAAGGCAAAGAACTAATTGATGAAGTTCCCTCTTTTGGGCTTGTACATTCTCAATGTGCTAATCCAGCTAAAAGCTCAGAGAACCTGTCAGTAAAGTCCCAGGTTTGAATCCTGAGCTACAGCAATGTGGAGCAATGGAAAAACCATATTCCTGATATCTAGTTTTATTACATCTCCTAGAAGAAACCACCATTTCACTGAAATTAGTGTAAATAAAATTAATTCTTAAGCACACTCAGCTGATTTGATACCTAACTGAATGAGAGATAGAAATAAAAGAAATTACAAAATGTTGTTCGGAGTCAGCCAAATTTGGAGAGAATAGCAAAATTACCCACCTCTTTCATCACGCCCTCAGCTACAGACAGAAGTGTTTTATGAATGTCTCGGCTCACTATACTCTGTTAATCTGCTGCTCATAATGAAGTTTGCTGCTACCATCCTCTTTGAGTGTAGGAAATTACAGGAACTGCTTGGTTTAGTGTGGTAAAGGAAATCATGTCTAAGTCCAACTGGAATAATACCATGTAGTTAACAAGATATAGTTTCTTGCATGTTAGCAACTAGTCACAGGTTACAATGAAATGATAAACTTTATTACAGAGATTTTGAGGAAGAATAGATGTTAGGCCTCACTCCTCTGAGATCCTAAGTTGTATTGCCCATTAGTCTCTTTGATATCATCAGGGTGGATGGCAGCCACAGCACTCCCCAGCTCTTTCAGACCCTCTCAGTCTCACACGCAACATGTTATCCAGAACTCTACATTCACTTCTTGCTTCTGAATATCATAGTTGCAGAGTCATAGAGTAATACTGCACGGAAACAGATCCTTCGGTCCAACCAGTCTACGCTGACCGTAATCCCAAAATAAGATAGTCCCACCTGCCTACACCTGGCCCATATCCCTCCAAACATTTCTTATTCATGTACTTATCTAACTGTCTTTTAGACGTTGTAAGTGTAGTTGCATCTACCACTTCCTCTGGAAGTTCATTCTACTCATGAACCAAAGGTTATACATTACCCAAATGTACTTCTATTTTCTAAGTGTCTTGGCCATACAGCAATAAGATTGTAAATACGACAATTTGAAGGGAGATGGTTGCATCGCGGTAATATCACTGAACTAGTAATCTAGAGACCCAGGTTAATGCTCTGTGGACTTTGGTGAATCCCACTGTGGCAAATGATGACGTTTGAATTCATTCTTTAAAAAAATCTGGAACAGTTAGCTGCCTAAAGGTACCCATCTGATTCATTAATGCTCTTTAGGGAAGGAGCTGTGCCCTCCTTATCTGGCCTTCATGTCACTTCAGAATCACAGCAATGTGGTTGATCTGAACTGTCCATTGTGCAAATAGGGATGGAGAAGAAACGGTGACCTTGCCAGTGATACCCACAAACCACATTATGTTAAAAAGTAAACTGTTGGTTAAAGCAGGGGAAAAATACAGATGTTGCAACTATAGATTTATCAGATACAACGACAAGAATCAAATATATCATTACAGACAAAATCAATTTTCATAGAAGAAGCATGCATTAATAAGAGTCAACTGAATCTGTCATAAAGACAAATGTAACTAATTTAATTGAGTTTTTGATGAGGTAACAGTGCAGGTTGATGTAGGTAGACAAGTATATATCATATACATGACTTTTAAAAGTCAGTTATACAGTGCTATATAACTGACTTATTCAGCAAATAGAAGCACATAGAATTAAAGGGATTGTAGTATCTTGGGCACTTAACTGAGGAGTTGGCTGGATGGTTGGTTTGTGAAGCAGTGTGATGCTGTCAGCTTGGGTTCAATCCACACACCAGCTGAGCTTACCATGAAGGACTCTCCTTTTCAACCTCTCCCCTCGCCTGAGGTGTGGTGACCCTCAGGTTAAACCAGCACCAGTTGTCTCTCTCTAATGAGGAGTAGCCTTATGGTGTGGTCAGACTACGGCAACTTGAGTGGTGAACGGTTGCTTTTCTGGCTGGAACAAAGTATATGATGGAGAAACCAAACATTAGTATGAAGACAATTGTTCTTGTAAATCGTCTGGACCTGGTTTTAAGAAGTGCAGTTTTGATATTTGTGGATGATACAAGAACTTGGCAACATAGTAAATTATGTGGAAGATAGTGGCAGACATTAGGAGTAATTAGGATAGTGATTTTGACAGATGTATGATAGATCCAACTTAATGCAGGTAGGTATTAAGGTGATACACTTTGGGGAATAAAATGAAGATAATATAATATAAATGTACCCTTGTGAGGGGAGTGAGATATTCTGAAATCTTTGATGGTGGCAGCACAAGTTAATAAGGTAATTAGGAAAGGACAAAGGTGACGTTGTACATAGGGACAAAAACAAGGAAATCACAGTTACCCTTCACATATCACTAGCTGGGCTTCAGCTGGAGTGTTGTGTCTGGTTCTGGGAATCACCCTTTAGAAAGGATGCCAGGGCCTTGCCAAAGGAAGAGACAGTTGTACCTGGAATGTGGAACTTTAGCAATGCTGAAAGATTTACGAAGCTGGAATTGTTTTTCTTGGAACAGATGAGATTAAGAACAGATTTAATGATGATGATCAAAATTATAACAGGTTTTGCAGGAGCAAGGAGGGAGAAACTTTATTTTTCTAGCAAATTAGTTACCAGAGGTGATGGTAGAGGGAATATTAAAAGTTCTTTTCATGTTAAGGTTTGGATTGCACAAGTGTACCTGAATCACATTCTGAATCACATGTACCTCAAATAGTCATTGCAAGTTTACATGGAAAAAGCTGTGATATGAGACTAAATTGGACACACTTTCAAAGAGCTGGCAGAGATGTGCTGGATCAAATGGCCTCCTTCTGTGCAACAAGATTCTATAATTCTAAGATTCCAGAAATCCTAATCTCTAATCCTTCTCAAACTTGGTGAATTTTATGTATGGAAGCTCTCAGTTGTTATTCCAGGTTTGACTACATTGGACTGGCTCTTGGTTTGTTTACTGGCTTTGACCCTAATTCAAGATGTCATCCTGGGTCTCGTCCTAATTCATGCATCAGTCCCAGGTTGAGTACATATCTGGTTGTTAACAAGCTTTGTTTCATGCTTCAGATCCTTGACAAGCTCTCGTCAAGGTTTCAGGACAGATTCTGTTTCATGTGACATTTCTATTTTGGGTAGAGTTGCTGATTCAGGAGCTGCTCCTGGATTTGGTTTAATTTCAGGCTCTGCTTCAGGAGCTGTTCCTGATTTGGGTTTAATTTCTAGTTCAGATTGAGAAGCTGCTGCAGTTTTGGGTGTAATTTCTGGTTCTGGTTCAGGGAGCTGCTGCTGGTTTGGCTGAGTGTTTGGTTCAGGAACTGTTGTCTTTCAGTACACTTTCAGTATATGTTTGTTGATTGCATTATGGATTGAGAACCATGCTTCTAGGAATTCCCATGTGTGTCTATGCTTGGCTTGGGCTACTAATGGTTACGTTGTCCCTGTTAAACTGATGGCCTTCATTGTCCAAGTATACTGATGTTAAGGAAAGTGCAATGTTGATGCCTCTATAGACTGTTTACCTTCTGTCCACTCATCCACAGAATGTCGAGCTGTGATAAAACTCCCGAGGTGGATCTCAGACACATCTTGAAGATGAACAGGACCGAGATTTCAATGGCCATCGATGATCTCTTCCCATTTCTACATGGACTGGTGGATCACGATGTCATCACAGAGCAAATATTCAAGGTATGAAAATGGGTCAATGTTCAGCCAAGCAATGTGAAGTCATGACAATAGACTGATACAAAGCAAACCATTGCTGTGTGTTGTAGAAACACAGAAGGTTCCAGGACTAGAAATGTCTATCAAGTAATGATGTCTGTACAGACTGACGGCTTAATCAACAACAGTGCCCTGGCTCAGATATCAGGTACCAAGTCTGTCTTGAAAGAGCTCGAGCTCTCACTTGGATAGATAACACTAGGACAAAACCTGTTCGAGAGAAAGAACATTGCAGAGAGAATGCGAGGATCAGAACATGAGATTGAAAGGGAACATTAGATAGAGAGAAAGAATAAGAATGTGAGAAAGATAGTAACAGCAAGAACAAGAAGAGTGAAGAGAACATGAAGGAGAGAACATGAGAAATGATGCAACTGCTAGAGGATTTGCAACTGAAATTAAATAAAATGTTCTAAAAAAGGAAGAGAGCAAGCTAGGAAAAGGTAGTTGAGAAAAAATCATGTGTGAAACCACAGAAGCAGCATGAAATAGTCCGCAAATGAAAATATGAAAGTGTATGAGCGATCGCAAAGAGACCAGTACTTGGCAGAAATGTTTGACTTTAAATATGAGTAACCATTGAAGGAATTGTTTCTATCTTTCTGTCATACGGTCTCAGCCTCTTATTTCTGGAATCACCCCAGATTTAAGGTTTTGGCAAAGATTTGCAGCTCGGGTTGTGGGTGAGCTTGTTGACTTGCTTGCCGAGCTGGCATGTTTTCATTCAGATGTTTCATCACCATGCTAGGTAACATCATCAGTGAGGCCTCCAATGAAGCGATGTTATTCTACTCTGCTTGGAATTTATACTGTCCAGTCTGTTATGGTGATTTGTATCATTTCCAGTTCTGTTCCGTATGGGTTTGTATATAAGGTCCAATTCTATATGTTTGTTGATTGCACTATGGGTTGAGAACCATGTTTCTAGGAATTCCCATGTGTGTCTATGTTTGGCTTGGGCTACTAATGGTTACGTTGTCCCTGTTAAACTGATGGCCTTCATTGTCCGAGTGTACTGATGTTAAGGAAAGTTCATTGTGTCGTTTGCTGCTAGCTGATGTTCGTGTCTTCTGATGGCTAGTTTCCTTCTTGTCTTGTGGCAGTCATTGCATGGCATTTTGTAGACTACGTTGGTTCTGCATGTTGTGAGATTGGGGTCTTTAATCCTTGTGAGTGTTTATTGTAGAGGTGCTGTGGGCTTGTGCGCTACCATGATTCCTAGTGGTCATAGGAGTCTCGTTGTCAGTTCTGATATGTTCTTGATGTAGGGCAGTGTGGCCAGTGTGTTGGGGCGTACTGTGTCCTCTTGTTGTTGTCTATTTAGTAGGCACCTGCGGATGAAGTTGCGGGGATATCCATTTGTAGCGAAGATTTTGTATAGGTGCTCTTCCTCTTTCCTGAGTAGTTCTGGTGTGTTGCAGTGAGTCGTGGCCTATTTAAATAGTGTCCTAATGCAGCTTTGTTTGTGGACGTTGGAGTGCTTGCTGTGGAAGTTGGGGATTTGGTCAGAGTGGGTTTCTTTCTTGTGTACCTAGGTTTGGAACTCCCCGTTGGTCATACATTCAACTCTGACATCCAGAAAAGGAAGCTGATTGTTGTTTTCTTCTTCTCTCATGAATTTAATCCCCGCGAATACGTTGTTGATGAGGTGGCAGGTCTCTTCTAGTTTGGTGCACTTAATGATGACAAATGTGTCGTCCATATACCGGACCCATAGTTTAGATTGAATGAGGGGAAGGGTAGTGTGTTCTAGTCTTTGAATGACTGCCTCACACTGGCCACACTGCTCTACATCAAGAACATATCAGAACTAACAATGAGATTCCTACAACCACTAGGAATCATGGTAGCCCACAAGCCCACAGCCCCTCTACAATAAACACAAGGATTAAAGACCCCATTCCCACAACATGCAGAACCAATGTAGTCTACAAAATACCAAGCAACGACTGCCACAAGCATTACATTGGACAGACAAGAAGGAAACTAGCCATTGGAATACACGAACATCAGCTAACAGCAAAACAACACAAAGAACTTTCCTTAATATCAGTACACTTGGACAATGAAGGCCATCAGTTTAACCGGGGCAACATAACCATAGTAGCCCAAGCCAAACATAGACACACATGGGAATTCCTAGGGGCATGGTTCTCAACCCATAATGCAATCAACAAGCATAAAGAATTGGACCCATATACAAATACATACAGAACAGAACTAAAATGACACAACTCACCATAACAGACTAGACAACATAAACTCCAAGCAGAGTAGAATAACATTGCTTCATTGGAGGCCTAACTGATGATGCTAACTAGCATGGTGACAAAACGTCTGAATGAAAACAAGTCAGCTTGGCATTCAAGTCAACAACCTTACACACTCAGATTAATGACAAGTTACTAATTGATTTTCAACAGGAAACATTACAGCTGAAGGAACAGAAGGGTAGCAACAAGGCTGTGTACACTGTCCTCACATGGATCCTGGAGAAGAGCAATGGATCCATCAGTGAGTTCTGGAAGAATCTCTTCAAAGATTACAATCTGGAGCGGTACCCCAAACTCCAGCCAGTTTACCACAGCTTTCCAAAAGGTAAGTGAAGAGATTGATAGTTCTGATGTCTATCTGCCACAGGATGGACAGGAAACAATCAGTGTGTGTTGAGTTTCTTACAATCCAGGAGACTGTGATAACAAAACAACAGATTGTGAAGAGGATTGACAGGGATACTATTACAGGGAAACATTTGTGTACATTGATTTATTTTTCACTGTTTATTTCTCTGCATTTGTCTTTTTCGTTCCCTTGCTATTACCCTCTCTGTTTCTGAGTTTTGGGTGTCCTCTCGACATTTTTTCTTACTAGCCTTTGTGGTTTTGTCTGTCTCACTCCCTTAGTTTCCTGTTTCTGTTCTTGTGAATTTGTTTCTGTCCTTTGCCATGGTTTGCTTTTAATTGAGAACAGGGTAATTGTGATTCAATAGCCTTTTCTATATCTCACCCTATTTCCATCAAGAACAAGATAAACCAGGTTCCCAATTCTCTATCATTCATTTTACAATAACGCAGAAAGTCAAAATGATTTGCTATGTCTCATTTACTGTCAGTATATGCAGGTCTGTATTTTTTAAAATCATGTGTGAGCAGAGTGTGCAACAAGAGGCTGAGGGTGAAATAGTTCAAATGTGGCTATTTTGTTGCACTTTGACTGTTTGCCTATCTCTTTCTGTCTTTTTTTAATACACATTCATTCAAAGGATGTATGAATCACTGGCTAGGCCAGTATTTATTGCCCATTCCTAATTGTGCTTCAGAAGGCAATGGTGAGCTGTCTTTTTGAACCGCTATAATCTTTGTTGTGCAGGTACACCCATAGTGCTGTTAGGAAGGGGAGTTCCAGGCTTTTGACCCAGCACCAGTGAAGGAACAACAATATAGTTCCAAGTCAGGATGGCATCTAATTTTGAGGGCACTTACATGTTCCCATGTATCTGCTGCCCTGTCCTTTTAGGTGCTGGAGGTCACAGGGTTGGAAGCTGCAGTCTAAGAAACCTATGTAAGTTGTTGAAATGCACCTTGTATTGTGTGCACTGCTGCTATGTGTATCAGTAGTGGAGGAAGCAAATGTTGACATTAGTGATGGAGTGCCAATCAAGAATGGATTGTTGTTTTCTGGATGGTGTTGAACATCTTTAGTGTTGTTGGAACTACCCTCATCCAGGCAAGTGGCACATATTCCATCACGCTTCTGATTTGTCGGTGCAGCCACAATATTTGCATACAAATATTTACTGGTCCAGTTTAGTTTCAGGTCAATGGTAACTCCCAAGATGTTGATAGCAAGTTGTCTGTCCTGTAATTGTCTTCCTGATGCATTATTTATCCACTTTATTTATACGTCTGTGATATAATAGCAGTGTGAATTTTTTACTGTTGTTACTAAACTTCAAGACACATGTCTCAATAAGAACCTGAGCTATGTGGTGTATATTATGTGAGCTAATATATAGGACAGTAAGTACTCAGATCACACCATACTGACAGTGGTGTTTCACCAAAGAAACATTAGTGAGTGCTTGCTGTGTAGATATGGGAGTATAAGGAGGTATGGGGAGGCAATGGCCTAGTGGTATTATCACTGGACTGTTAATCCAGAGACCCAGGTAATGCTCTGGGGTCCTGGGTTCAAATCCCACCACGGCAGATGGTGGAATTTGAATTCAATAAGATATCTGGAATTAAGAATCTAATGATGACCATGAATCCATTGTCGATTGTTGGAAAAACCCATCTGGTTCACTAATGTCCTTTAGGGAGGGAAACTGCCATCCTTACCTGGTCAGGCCTACATGTTACTCCAGACCCACAGCAATGTGGTTGACTCTTAACTGCCCTCTGGGCAGTTAGGGATGGGCAATAAATGCTACCTAGCTAGGGATACCCTCATCCCACTAATGAATAAAAAAAACACATAGTGGACATTAGGATTGGTGTCTGACACCTATGTTCAGAACTGAATGTTGCTGAACAAAGAGACATTGGAGTGCTGGTTCATAGTTCCTTGAAAGTGGAGTCGCAGGTAGACAGGATAGTGAAGAAAGCATTCCATACGCTTCCTTTTATTGGTCAGTGCATTGAGTATAGGAGTTGGAACGTCATGTTGCAGCTGTACAGGACATTGATTAGGCTACTTTTGGAATACTGCATTCAATTTTGGTCTCCCTATTACAGGAAAGATGTTGTGAAATTTGAAAGGGTTCAGAAAAGATTTATAAGAATGTTGCTGGGGTTAGAGGGTTTGAGCTATAGGGAGAGATTAAACAGGCTGGTACTATTTTCCATGGAGCATTGGAAGCAGAGGGTTAACCTTATAGAAGTTTATAAAATCATGAGGGGCATGGATCAGGTGAATATTCAAAGTCTTTTCACCAGGGTAAGGGAGTACAAAACTAGAGAGTATAGATTTAAAATGAAAGGGGGAAAGATTTAAAAGGAACCTAAGAGGCAACTTTTTCACGCAGAGGGTGGTGCGTGTATGGAACAAAACTGCTAGAGGAAGTGGTGGAGGCTGGTACAATTATAACATTTAAAAGGTATCAGGAAGGAAATATGAATAGGAAGGGTTTAGAGGGATATGGGCCTAATATTGTCAAATGGGAATAGATTAATTGAGGATATCTAGTCGGTATGAATGAGTTGGATCGAAGGGTCTGTTTCCATGCTGTACGTCTCTATGACTCTATGACTCTAACTGGGTCAATGTGTCATTAATGGTGGTGGGCCTTCAACCCTGCCTGCCTCAGCATCCAGTCTCAGGCCTGCTGCTCAGGAGTTGGCATCTCTCACTGCAGACATTGCTCACATTCTGTCATGAAATTCAGGTGGACTGGCCTACTGGGCAGGAGGCAGCATTGGGACATTAGGAAATGGCCCCACTTGCAATCCGAGGATGAAAATCCAGGCCTGTCTCTCAATTTATATCTGTCTCTGTCAAAATTACAGTTCTGTTTAGATCTGTGTCTGGCATTGTGTAGTTTTCCTGTCCCTGCCACATTTGGGCCATGTCAAATTTAACAACGTAAGGTTACCATACTCCCATGAGACCAGAGGGCTGCTCTCTCAATAGACTGGTGATGGTTTAACCTGAGGGTAACCACACTTCAGGTGAGGGGAAAGGTTGAGAAAGAGAGCACCTCAGCCCGTGCAGTAATTCAACCCATTGCTGTTGGCATCACCTTACATCGCAAAGCAGCTATCCAGCTAACTGAGCTAACTGACCTCCTAATGTTCCACTTACCATGTGGGACCCTCTCTCTTTCTCTGTCTTTCATACTAAGAACATAGTTTATTTAAATGATGTTACAGCACTATTTACATCCATTGACATACTGTTAGCCAGAGAGACACTAGCCACACTACTAGGAGGACCAGGAGCACCGACCCTGAATGCCAACAACAACATCAGCAGGGATAGCTTACTGAAACTACTAGACTTATGCCTCACAATGGACTTCATGTTCAACGGTCAAATATACAAACAGATCAACGGCACACCGATGGGATCACCCATCTCAGGTCTCAATGCAGAAGCAGTGATGCAGAGACTGGAACACGCAGCCCTTCCTATAATCCGACTGAAACTGTGGAGAAGATACGTGGATGACATATTTGTAATAATCAAACGCAGAAAAATAGGAGAAACCCACCAACTTATTAATATCATCTTCGCAAGCATAACATTTACTAGAGAGGAAGGAAACAACAGACAGCTCCCGTTCTTAGACGTAATGGTAGAGAGACTTACAAATGGTGAATTTCCAGACCCGAGTGTACAAGAAGGCCACACACATGGACCAAATCCTTAACTTCAATAGCAACCACCCCACCATACACAAACAGAGCTGCATTAAGACACTATTTAAATGAGCCTTATCACATTGCAACACCCCAGAACTCCGGAGAAGGGAAGAGGAACACCTGCACAAAGTATTTACCGACAACGGATACCCAAGAAGTTTCATCCGCTGATGCCTACAAAACAAACGACAGTCAGAGGACAGAGTACAACAGAAGACACTAGCAATGCTAACCTACATCAAAAATATATCAGAAATGACAACCAGACACCTTAGACAGCATAGGATCATGATTGCACTCAAACTTACATCAACACTGTGTCAAACGCTATCAAAGACTAAAGACCTCATACCAACAGTAAACAGGACTAACATGTATACAGAATCCTATACAGTGAGTGCAATAAACATTACATTGGACAAACAGGGAGGAAACTGACGACCAGGATACACGAACACCAGCTGGCAGTAAAAAGACACGAACCATATTTACTTGTCTCAATACACACAGACAATGAAGGACATCAGTTCAACTGGGACAAAGTGACTATACTGGGACAAATGAACAACAGACATGCAAGGGAATTTCTGGAGGCCTATTTCTGAACACGGGTTTCCATTAACAAACACATAGAAAGATAGCCTGTATACAGATTGCTGCTGAGAAACAGAACCGGAAGCAACAAGCGACACCAGAGAATCATACAAATTTGGAACGGAGCAGAACACCTACGCTTCGATTAGAGGTTGCACTGATGATGGTAACAAAACATCTGCACACCACAGAACAACCGGGTTGGCGAGCAAACAAACAACCATAAGCATCGGTATCCAAATGAACGTGCTGGGAGATAAATGGTTGCCCCTGTGCTTATGTTGACCATTGTCTGTTCACAGACTTGCTTCTGGTAATTCCCACACCCAGTTTGGTCTCCCAACTGAAATTTTCAGTGATTCCTATTATGAGCACTGCCCCTGGTGGCCCAAATATTAGCAATTTAATTCTTCTGCTGCAATGCAATAGTAACAGAGACTCATTCAAGGTACCACCAATAGTAATATTAGCCTGGTGTTTGCAGTCAGAGGAAGCCGAACTATATGCATTTTAAACAGAATCATGACTAGCCTTTTCCTCTACTGCTCAGAGTGGATAGCTGCAGACAGGCACAATTGGTCTTGGCTAAGTGAAACACAAATGAACTTGAATGATTACTTCTGCTGCTGGGTGAATGAGGAACAAGAAAATAAAACAGAAAGGATCTCACTGGATGAAACTAGTAGGGAGGAGGAGAGTTCTCAAACTAAGAGTTAGTGAACTGTAGGATCCTTTTCCTTGTATTGTTAGTCAACAGTTGTGCAGCCGGAATATTTCATAGATCAAACTTGCAACAATGCCTCCAACCAGAATTGGTCATCCCAATAGGTTGATATTTTTACAAGACTGCAGGAGGGAAGTAAAAATAATTCACTGTTCTGCTTGGAATTTACAGACTTAGATCTTAATAAACTGAGACGAGGAAGGAAGACCCCCAGAATGTCTCCCAATCAGATAACAACGAGGCCTCCACTAAAACGAAAATCTCCCGAGGAGTCACCAGTCAGTGCAGCCGGCATGAATACAAAATGTAGCAATAATAAGGAGACACCAGGTAAGACAGCATTCTATAAGGAGCCCTCAAGTGCAGCATTAAACAGTCCATTCGGCAAAAACAATGAATTCAGGTCATTCCAAGTTCAAATATACAATTGTTAAGTCCTATAGCTGTAGTACTGGGATGTCTCTACACTCAAATAGATCAAGTACAGAGACACACACCCCAAATACTGAGGCGTGTACACATTCACCAGGTATTCACACATGCACACGTTCAGTCATTCTCACACAGACACGCAGTACTGAGACCTGTGCACACGCTATAAACACCATGTGCACAGGTAAAGACACACACACACACACACACACACACACACACACACACACA